CCTGGTCCTTCTCTTCATTAAGCTAGACTTACCCAATTCCAGCAACTGTTCTTTATATGGTTGAGCCTCCAGTCCCCTAATCATCTTTGTTGCTCTTCTCTGCACTCTTTCTACAGTCTCAGCATCTTTTTTGACATCGTGGAGACCAAAACTGGATGTGGGCTTTCCAAGTGTGGTCTTACTCAGTGGCAGCAAGGACGTGGCTCCATCAATAGAGTTGAAGCGGATGAGTTTCTGCTCCTGATTCTCTCCTGCTTTCTGCAGATACCAGCCGAAATGTCCCATGAGCTAAAGAATCAAAATAGTTGTGGCCCATATTCCCATCTTCTTTTTCAAATGTCACACAAATCCCTTTGGGTTTTTGTGAGAAGGAAGCTGAGACTGAAGCTGTCATTCCTGATCCTGATTCATGGCTGTATTTTTCCAGAAACCAGATGCTATATTCTGCTCCTTCTCCTCCTCCTTCTCATCTTCTTCTTCTCCTCCTCCTCCTCCTCCATATTCTCCTCCTCCTCCTCCTCCTCCTCCTCCTCCTAGAGTAGATTAATTCATGGATCTTTATTAATTGGATTTATTAATCAATGCAATTGATTGATTGATTGATTGATTGATTGATGAAGAATGATAGCACTTCGAATACTGCATCCAGTTTTGCTCACCGTATTATGAAAAAGATGTTGAGACTCTGGAAAGAGTGCAGAGAAGAGCAACAAAGATGATTAGGGGTCTGGAGGCTAAAACACACAAAGAATGGTTGTCTGGTTTAATTAAAAGAAGGATTAAGGGGAATATGATAGCAGTCTTCCAATATTTGAGGGGCTGCCCCAAAGAAGAGGGAGTCAAGCTATTCTCCAAAGCACTAGAAGACAAGAAACAATGGATGGAAACTCATCAAGGAGAGAAGCAACCTAGAACTAAGGATAAACTTCCTGACATTGAGAACAATTAACCAGTGGAACAACCTGCCTCCAGAAGCGGTGAATGCTCCAACAATGGAGGTTTTTAAGAAGAGACTGGACAGCCATTTGTCTGGAATGGTATAAGGGTTTCCTGCCTGAGTAAGGGGTTGGACTAGAAGACCTCCAAGGTCCCTTCCAACTCTGTTATTCTGTTAAGCTTCTTCTTCTTCTTGTGCCATATCCGTTATTGGACGTTGGTGATCCTGTTTTTATCAGCAGCTGTGCGAAAAAGTGCTGCTGAATTTTGTCCGAACCAGTCCCTTAGATTTTGAAGCCACGATGTTCTTCTTCTGCCTGGACCTCGTTTGCCTTCAATCTTTCCCTGGAGGATTAAATGGAGTATGCCGTATTTTTCTGGGTGTCGCATGTACGAAATATTCTAATTTTTGTTTTTTAATTGTTTTGATGATTTCCCTCGGCTTTCCCAGGCGGCTGATCCCCTCCTCATTTCTGATCTTGTCAACCCAGCTTCTACGTAACAGCCGCCTGTAAATCCACATTTCAAATGCTTCTGGTCTCTTCAGGTGGCCTTCTGTCAGAGACCAACTCTCTACTCCACGGAGCAGGAGAGAAAAATATAGCATCTGACAAGCCTGATTTTCAATCTTTGGCTTCTGTCGTGACTGCAGAAGAGCTTTTTCATTTTGAAGATTGCTGTTAGAGCTTTCTCTATCCTGGTCTTTACTTCAGCGGTCCATGTCCCAGCTTTCGTGTAAATCTGTGAAGCTTAATTACCATTTTTGTAAACAAGCTTCATTTTAACACAGCTTTTTGCTTTGGACTGTCAAGTTCTTCCTGCTTCCTTGAAAGAGAGAGAAAAAAAATATCTCCAGCCTCTATCAAGAGGACTGAACATTTTGAGAGTTAACCTTAGTTACCTTCACTGAATATTTGCAGATGTGGTCGCTCTTAGCTTGGTGCTCACTGAGTCTCAAAACTATCTATTAAAGTTTAAATATAGAAAGAACACTCTGTTCTCTTGCCTATTTCCAAACAACATCCTCCAGGATGCTTTTTTTTTTTTTTTGCTTTTTTTTGCTTTTCTCGAGAGCAAAATTTCTAGGGCATTTAGAACGAGCCACGGGAAACACACCAGTGAATGAATGGACATTTAAACAGAGCTAAGTGTACTTCTCTGCTTTTCTTTTTTTCAGATTCCTCCCAAGGATCTTTAAAAGCCTGCACGTATCAAGGGGAGATAGACGCCTACGTTCTGCGTCAAACCGGAGCGGTAAACCTGGTTTCCCAGGAAGGTAGGTTAGTTAGTCATTTAAAGACTGGTTTGAGGATTTCCTGACCGTGAGAACAATTAACCAGTGGAACAACCTGCCTCCAGAAGCGGTGAATGCCCCAACGCTGGAAGTGTTTAAGAAGAGACTGGACAGCCATTTGTCTGAAATGGTGTAGGGTTTCCTGCCTGAGCAGGGTGTTATAATAATAATAATAATAATAATAATAATAATAATAATAATAGTAGTAGTAGTAGTAGTAGTAGTAGTAGTAGTAGTAGTAGTAGTAGTAATAATAATAATAATAATAATAATAATAATAATAATAATAATAATAATAGTAAAGTTGGAAGGGACCTTGAAGGTCATCTAGTCCAACCCCCTGCTCAGGCAGGAAACCCTAGACCATTTCAGACAAATGGCTGTCCAGTCTCTTCTTAAAAACTTCCAGTGTTGGAGCATCCACAGCTTCTGGAGGCAGGTGGTTCCACTGGTTAATTGTTCTAACTGTCAGGAAGTTTCTCCTTAGTTCTAGGTTGCTTCTCTCCTTCATTAGTTTCCATTAGTTCTAGTTGGACTAGATGACCTCCAAGGTCCCTTCCAAGGCTGTTATTCTATTCTACAGTTGGAAGCAAACGGTCAACCGGTGCAACTTACAGAGCGGAAGTGTTAATATGTGCGGTTGTAGAAGCACACAAAAAAAAACCCCACTCTTGCATTTTGCACCAGCTTGAAGCTTCCGCTTATTCTGCACGTTCAGCCGCCTGCAGAGCGGATGGAAAGGGTGTTCCCATTCTGTCACCAGAGGGCTGTCTGGGATTTTGGCCTCCTTTGCACAATTTGGAAGGAGTTTGTCCAAATTGCAGAAGCCGAGTCGGGATCCAGAATTGTAATGTATTTTCGTCTCCTGTTCCAGACCCTGCCTGCTGCAGTCCGTCCAGCCACCGAACTGAGTTATGTAAAATAATCAGTAGGAGTAAAGCTGGTCCCATTAGTCACAGAAAGAGGTCCTCGCCAAAAGAAAGCGCTCACATGTTGCAACAATAAATTTTGCCATTTTGGAATAGAATAGAATAGAATGGAATGGAATGGAATGGAATGGAATAGAATAGAATAGAATAGAATCCCTGGTTTAATGCGAATTCTTTTCCCGCTCTGCATAACAGGCTCCATTGCTGTCAAGGTACCTGCAACTCTTCAAGCTTCCCTGAAATTATCCGGAACGAAGGTGGAAATCAGTCCAGAGATCCAATTGCAGGAGATCCAGACTGTGTTGAGGGAAGACCGTGTCACAGTGACTGGTGAGATTCTATTCTATTCTATTCTATTCTATTCTATTCCATTCCATTCCATTCCATTCCATTCCATTCCATAATATTCTATTCTATTCTATTCTATTCTATATTCCAATATCTATTCTATTCTATTCTATTCTATTCTACTCTACTCTACTCTACTCTACTCTACTCTACTCTACTCTACTCTACTCTATTCTACTCTACTCTACTCTACTCTATATTCCAATATCTATTCTATTCTATTCTATTCCATTCCATAATATTCTATTCTATTCTATATTCCAATATCTATTCTATTCTACTCTACTCTACATTCCAATATCTATTCTATTCTATTCTATTCTATTCTATTCTATTCCATTCCATTCCATAATATTCTGTTCTATTCTATTCTATTCTATTCTATTCTATATTCCAATATCTATTCTATTCTATTCTATTCTATTCTATTCTATTCTATTCTATTCTATTCTATTCTATTCTATATTCCAATATCTATTCTATTCTATTCTATTCTATTCTATTCTATTCTATTCTATTCTATTTCTATTCTACTCTACTCTACTCTACTCTACTCCACCATTCCATTCCATTCCAGAGAGAGAGAGAGAGAGAGAGAGAGAGAGAGATGACCTCCAAGGTCCCTTCCAACTGTATTATTATTATTATTATTATTATTATTATTATCTTTTATTCATTACACATGAACCTCAGTCAACTGAACATTCAAGTTGGTGCTGATGGTTGACACGGGTTGCTATTAGCATCCTAGGTTGTTGTTGTTGTTGTTGTTGTTGTTATTATTATTATTATTATTATTATTGTATATGCAGCATTTCTTGCGTTCTTTGCTTCTTTGCTACGAAACCTTCAGTTTTTCTAATATCCTTGCTCCGATATTGAAATATTTTCAGTTTTCGTAAGGTTTTTTTTTTTTATTTAAGATATTCACTTAGCTTTTGGATATGTTTCGGTAGGAAGACTTCGAGCACATAAAACAAATTAATTGCAACCGGAAAACAGCTGTTTACAGCTGTAGAGCCACTGGGCCCAAACTGGAAAACAAAAAACAAAGAGAGCTTTGCTTTAGCTCTTACTGTAAGCTCCCATTCAAAGGTACCAAATTAATCATCGTCCCGTTTCAGGGTTTACTACTTGCATACTGCTACCACAGATAACTGTTTTAACTCTGTTGTTTGAGAAAAAACACTGCGTGGAGAGTTTACATAGAGGGCCAATGTAAGTCCAATAACTGCTACGGCTACCTTCATTTTCATGAGTCAACGTCTACTTGCCTTTTGACTGAATCCTAGGGGTTCTCGACTTACAATCATTCATTTAGTGACCGTTCAGAGTTAACGGGGACACCGACTTATGAACGTTTTTCACACTTACGACCGTTGCAGCATCCCCATGGTCACGGGATCAAAATGACTCTTGGCAACTGGCTCGTATTTATGACGCCCGCAGCGTCCTGGAGTTGTCCATTTTGTTTATTCCCAGCTTGGACTGGACCCTGTTGAAGATTTTTCTTTTCAACATAAGCATCTTCGGTGCTTTCTCTACAGCAGAGTAGATACTCAAGTAGGCGTTCCGTACTGGGTGGACGGTGTGTTAACAACGTCCCTGGGCTCTCTTCGTCACCTAGACCTGGAGCAGTCGACAAAAGTAAAAACAGTCAACACAAATTGACAGAATGCTGGATAGAACAACGGATCTGCAAGTTGGCAGGCCACGCCATCTCCAGATCTTGCCTGCTGCATTAAAGATTAAGACGTAAGGGAAAAATGGGAGACAGACAAATCTATAATACAGAGAAAAGCACTAGGAGTGACATGATAGCAGTCTTCCAACATTTGAGGGGCTGTCATAGAGAGGAGAGGGGATCAAGCTTAATTAAGGATGCATTCCTTCATTCCAATATTTATTCCTTTATTCCAAAATTTGAGGGGCTGCCACCAAGAAGAGGGAGTCAACCTATTCTCCAAAGCCCCTGAAGGCAGCATAAGAAGCAACAGGGGGAAACTCATCAAGGAGAGAAGCAACCTAGAACTAAGGAGGAATTTCCTGAGAGAGAGAAGAATCAATTCGTGGAACGGATAATTTGCCTTCAGAAGTTGTGGCTGTTCCATCGTTGGAGGTTTTTAAGAAGAGATTCGATACAGAGAAGAGCAACAAAGATGATTAGGGGACTGGAGGCTAAAACATATAAGGAAAGGTTGCTGGAACTGGGTATGTCTAGTTTAAGGAAGAGAAGGACGAGGGGGGACAGGATAGCCGTCTTCCAATATCTCAGGGGCTGCCACAAAGAAGAGGGAGTCAAGCTCTTCTCCAAAGCGCCTGAAGGTAGGACAAGAAGCAATGGATGGAAACTAACCAAAGAGAGAAGCAACCTAGAACTAAGGAGAAACTTCCTGACAGTCAGAACAATTAACCAGTGGAACTCCTTGCCTCCAGAAGCGGTGAATGCTCCAACACTGGAAGTTTTTAAGAAGAGACTGGGCAGCCTTCTTCTTCTTCTTCGTCTTCGTCTTCAGTCTTCTCAGACTGAAACTGGGCCAAGGGTCTTATTCTCTTCCGGATAATGTTTTTTTTTTTAATTTTTTTTTAAAAGTTTTGTTAGTTTATAATATATGATACAGTCGAAATACAAATAGCAATGTAAAAAAGATGTTGAGACTCTAGAAAGAGTGCAGAGAAGAGCAACAAAGATGATCAGGGGACTGGAGGCTAAAACATATGAGGAACGGCTGCTGGAATTGGGGATGTCTAGTTTAAGGAAGAGAAGGACGAGGGGGGACACGATAGCAGTGTTCCAATATCTCAGGGGCTGCCCCAAAGAAGAGGGAGTCAAGCTATTCTCCAAGGCACCTGAAGGCAGGACAAGAAGCAACGGATGGAAACTAAACGAGGAGAGAAGCAACTTGGAACTAAGGAGAAACTTCCTGACAGTTGGAACAATCAACCAGTGGAACAACCTGCCTCCAGAAGCGATGAATGCTCCAACACTGGAAGTTTTTAAGAAGAGACTGGACAGCCATTTGTCTGAAAGGGTATAGGGTTTCCTGCCTGAGCAAGGGGCTGGACTAGAAGACCTCCAAGGTCCCTTCCAACTTTTTATTATTATTATTATTATTATTATTATTATTATTATTATTATTATTATTATTGGGAAAGATGGGGGAGGGAAAAGAGTAGAGAAGTGAGGGAAGCGAGGGAAAAAAGGGGGTAAAAAGGCATTGACTTCCCACTTCCTTTGGTGCCATAGAGCATCAACATCAAACTTCGACTGTTTACTTTCACAAAATAATATAAACTAGCTGTTTCGATAACATCCAATCTATCTGATTGGTAAAACCCACAATCAAAATGTCATTTTTTTTCCCCACCTCAAGCGCAGATAATGTCGAGGAAAATAAGCACAATGTCAGGCGTCAAAAAACCAGGTTCACGTTGTTGTTGTTAGTTGCGAAGTCTGACCCATCGCGACCCCATGGACAATGTTCCTCCAGGCCTTCCTGTCCTCTACCATCTTCTGGAGTCCATTGAAGCTCACGCCTGCTGCTTCAGGGACTCCATCCAGCCACCTCCTTCTCTGTCGTCCCCTTCTTCTCTTGCCCTCCAACTTTCCCAGCATCAGGCTCTTCTCCAGGGAGTCCTTCCTTCTCATTAGGTGGCCAAAGGACTTGAGTTTCAACTTCAGGATCTGGCCTTCTAAAGAGCAGTCGGGGTTGATCTCCCCTAGGACAGACCGGTTGGATCGTCTTGCAGTCCAGGGGACTCGCAGGAGTCTTCTCCAGCACCAGAGTTCAAAGGCCTCCATTCTTTGGCGCTCAGCCTTTCTTGTGGTCCAACTTTCACATCCATACATTGCAGCTGGGAAAACCATGGCCTTGACTATACACACTTTTGTTGGCAGGGTGATGTCTCTGCTTTTTAGTACGCTGTCTGGATTTGCCATAGCTTTCCTCCCCAGGAGCAAGCGTCTTCTAATTTCTTGGCTGCAGTCCCCATCTGGGGTGATCTTGGAGCCCAAGATAGCCCAAGAGCTATTCATTACCAAGTCAGAATAATTAATACAACTTCATTGAGTCTTCTCAATGGTTAGCACCTGCTTAAAGTTAGATAAGGCTGCACAGAATTCAAGGCAATTAGACTTAAGTTCACTTGTGACTATGTAGGGATTCTAGGCTGGTTCCACTTTTTGACTCCGCCCCCAGGTTCTGCTCCTCCTTCCCCTACACATAAATGTGTTCTATATCTATCCTGATCTGCTCATCCATAGGCAAATTAATTAACCTCTAAGCAATGAAGCCTATTGCAAAACATCGCGTACTCTTGACATAGAGAAATAAGAGGAAATAATAAACTATACACGCACCCTTTTAAAAGACTTGAGTCTTCATTAGAGACAATAGTTCCCACACACACACACACTTTAAACTCCTGGAATGACTCCAGAAAGATAGACTGTTATTTTTCTGGGGTTCCCCTTCTCCCCCAAAACACAGCATTCATGCCAGCATTAGCATCTGGCAATTCAAATGTTGGTACTCAAATGCTGTTATCAGTATTGAATATACGAGTCCAATATTAATATAGGAGGCATCTTTGGATAGTTAATTTATTTTCATTTGTACATTAGGCCAGGGGTCCCCAACCTTGGCAACTTTAAGACCTGTGGACTTCAATTCCCAGAATTCCCCAGGCAGCCATGGACCATGCTGGCTGGGGAATTCTGGGAGTTGAAGTCCCCAGGTCTTAAAGTTGCCAAGGTTGGGGACCCCTGCATTGGGCTTTGATAAAGTCAGATCAAAAACACAGGAACTTTAACTGAACTGTAAATGGACTAATTGTTCAATGAAAAAAAAAATAAGGAATTTCAAAAAATGCCATAAGTAAGATATCCACTTTGTTTCATGATAGGGTAAATCTTGTCCCTAAACAAGACACTATTATATAATTGAAACAATTCTGACATCGTTCCTTGTTAATCAATCTTGTGGATTTAATCTATGGACTGGGTTATTTTTCCAGTGATGTATGTTTTCCTTCTCTGGGATATGTCCATTATCTATAATACTGTACAGTCAGGGAATATGAGTAATTTCGGCTCAACATTCCAGAGAGAGGTGAAGTTGCTGAACTAAGTGCTTTTCCCGTAAATCATTTTCGTTAAGTGTTTTTTATACACCGTCACTTCTGTCTTTCCACGCTTTTACTCATTTGACAAAGCTTTGCTGGAGTCCACTTGAACCCAGTTCAATTTGCTTAGCCCTCGTACTCCAAAATAGATTCTGGAAGAAAGCGGTGATAATAACAACCACAAAAAGAAAAAAAAGTTATTTAAGCCCTTGGATTCCAGTTTGCATAGAGAGAGACAGAGAGATTTGTCAATTTGTCATTTGGGGAAACAGCTGCTTAAGCTGTCTTAAGGCTCTCTAGGATTATTAGGATGGTTTTGGAAAAAA